CGGGGCAGCGGAGCCCTGGTTCCCAGAGGGGTTAGGAACAGGCTTGCAGGCGCCTAGTTGCGAGAGTCTGCGACTACTTAGTCTCACTGAGCCGGCCCCAAGCCAGGCGCCGAATCCCCCTAGCACGAAAACCTTCCCTGAAGCCTGGGGTGGAGGCCGGGTGGGTGGCCTGCATGGTAAGGCATATAGAGCTTGGACACTCTTTGGTGACAGTCGCCCGGCGGGGGCCACCATTGTCCCGGACCCTCCGCCGCAGGGACAGTGGAGACTTGGGGAGGCCCAGATGTCGCAACTGGGGAAGTCGACGTCTGTTTCTCATAAATCCCGAGGGTGAGCACCACGCCCCCTCCCTCCAGCACTCCTGGTTCCGGAAATTGCCCCGCGGCTTCATGGTGGGGAAGATCTGAGCAGTCCCCACTTCCTCCCCTTCACTATTATGGAGAGACTGAGCCTCCCCCTTCAGGCGTTCAGAGGTCATAAAAGGCTGATGGGGGTGCACAAACCTGGTTTCCTCGCCCCTGCTTGGCTTTGCAGCCTCAGAACCAGGGCACGTGTTAGAGCAAAGATCAGTCTGGCTATGAAAACAGACTCCCACTGTCCTTTGTTGGCACTTGTAGACTGACCCCTGGGGAGCTGGGGGCCTCCGGGAGGCTTCCCAGAAATGGTGGAGGGGCTCTAGCAGGCCTGGAAGAGGTCTGAGAGGTGAAAGAAGGCATCAATCAGTGTGAGCAGAAGCTAGAAATGGCTCTTCAGATATCACACCTATTGCTTGCTCCTGGGGGTAGATTGGGGTGCCCGAACTTCTCCTCTCCTCTCCCTTCTTGCCTCCAGCCCCAGGTCCTCAGCCCCCACAGATGGTTAGATCGGCTTCTCTGCTTTCACTAAAACCTCTGCAGCCCTACCTCTGGCAGTTCTGTGGTTTGCCAAGGAATGTCTTCTTCTGTTGCCCTCCCCTACCCTTAGTGACCTCTGACCTTTATGAGAGGCCTTTAACCTTTCCCAAGGCCATTTCACATCTGTAATTTCCCAGGAAGTAGGACAGGCAAGGAAAGACTTTTTTTTTTATCCTTGTCTTGTGGATGGAAAGCTTGGGGCCTAGGGAGAAACAGTGGGTTGGTGAAGGTGGAGACTGGTATGGAACCTTACCTGCACTTCCTGCACACCAGCCCTGGGCTTCCCTCCACAGGGGCACTGAAGCAAGGCAGGCCTTATCTGAAGCCCTGGAACCTAGCCCCTTCCCTTCCACACACATACCAGCTACTCTCTTGGCAGGACCCAGCCAGCATACACTTAGTGAAAGCTTAGGATGGCCGATGGATGAGCCATCGATTGGAGATGAACACAGGCCTGAATGCCTGGCTGGGAACCAGGAGACCTATGAATGAGGCCGGGAGGGGGTGTGGGAGTGTGGCGGGTGGGAGAGTGACTACCTGTAGATTGGGGAAGAGGGTGGCTCCACACTGGGCAGCCTAGCTGTGGATCCCACCCTCCTGGGAGATGGGAGAACCTGGCCCCCAGTAGACTAACCTTGTTCCAAGTAGTGGGCTGAGAATCACTGATGGGGTGTCACTGGCCAGGGAGAGTCTTGGGGTATGGAACCCAGGGCAGGTCAATAGCTTTGATCCCCAGGGAAGAGGAAGTGAGGAGAAGCCAGCTGCCTAGCAACTGTGACCCACAAGGAGGAACTGGTGGGAGATGTGGAAGTGGCTGGGGAGGGGAAGGGGTGGGGAGGAGGGGAGGGTCTGATTGGTCAAGAGCACCTTTGTCATGGGGACAGGAATGAGGGTCAGGGAGGATAGATCTATCCGGGGTTCCTGAGAGCAGGAGGCTCTGGGGCCTTGGAAGTTGTGATTGGACAGAAGATGAAGGGTGCTGTGGTGGGACCCAAAGGGAGGCCCTTGGAAGTATAAGCTCTAGAGTGTTTGGGACTGAGACAGGGATAGTATAGGGGACTCTGCCCAGGGGGGCCGCTGGGTGGGAGGTGGGAGGTGGGTATGAAGCCAGCATTGCAGGCCACCTGGCCAGTGGGGAACACCAGCCACCACAGACTAAGGGGAAGCCCCTTGTCTGCGTGGGTAAGGACCCACATGAGTGGGTCTGGGCTGGGGGACCAGGTGGCCCGGAACCTATGGCTCAGAAATGTCCCCATGCAAAGCTGGTATTTCAGGGGGCTTGGTGGGCAAGGGCTCTGAAGTGTCAGCAAGCAGGGGCCCAAGGGAAAGGGGCACAGAGAAGCCCAAGAGCACGGCTCCAGGGCACACATAAGGAAGCAGGGATTCCTCAGGAGCTGATGTCACACATCCAACACACGTCACTCAGTCAACCACAGTCTGATGGGTAGTTTTTAAGAAAGCAATGGAGTTCCCTTTTTGATTGGGTTGTTTGTGCAAGAGAATGAAGACGCTGTGGGTTTGGGTTTCAGCAAAACTCCGGACTCACTCATGGAATCCTTAGGGACAGAAAAGCGGGGAGAGACAGCTCATATTCTGGGAGCTGTGCCCCACATCAGCAGCGCAGCTGAAAGGTCCAGCCTCAGCTCTCACGGTATTGCTGCAGGCACCCACCAGCCTCCCAAACCCTCAGAGGCACAGAGCGTGGGTACCAGTGTGGCTGCAACCATGTGTTTATTCAAAATGTGCAAAGCTGAACATGCAAGTGCAAATCTAACTTAGAAAGATCTTCCAGTGGCCCCAAGGTGGCCATGCTAGGATGTTCTGCTTGGCTGAGAAGCACCTGGGCCTCAGACCAGTCATTGGGTCTGAAGAGTCCAGGGCATGGGGGAGCTACTGGAGACTTCTTCTTGCTTAGAAGCCAGAATATCTTGCTAAAGAAGAAAGCAAAAATCATGGTGGGTCTGGGGGCAGGAAAAGGGTAACAGAAACTATTCTGCCCTCCTGGGCTCCTTGGGGTTGGGTGAGATATGACAAAAGCAGGCCGGAGAGCTGGACTCAAAGCCTACTGACCTGCAAAGAAGGGCCCTCTACCTCTTGGGGCAGGGGTGTATCCTAGGGGAGCCCTAGGGGATCCCACGGTCTAGCACAGAGAGGCCCAGGGGATCCCAACTGGATTGACCATGGCCAGAATCAGTGGGAACTCAGTGTCAAGCGTCTTTGCCACCAGGGCTAGCGATCAGGCTGTGGGCAGGGCTTGGGCTGGGTCACCAGCCTGAGATGAGACTGAGGGGCCCCTTTGGCTCAGCCTGGCTGAGCCTTTGGGACCTTTTGGATCTAGGAGGCCTGATGTGGCTGAGACATTCTTTTAAGGGGGCCCAAGGGGACCTGGGGCCTCTCGTGCTATTGGGAGGAGGGCAAGGGCAGTTTTTGTGGGGGATTCTCTAGAGAAGCCTGAGTCCTTAGAAGCAGCTAACTAAGCAGGAGTGGGGAAGGCAGCCATCACTGTCATGTGGGGGAGGCCCCTGGATGTCACTGCCACAAGTCACCAGCCGCCGCCCCGTTGTCATTCTCGTGGAACTTGTGCAGGTGATCAGCAAACCTGTGGGGCACAGAAAACTTTGCTGTTGCCGAGTGTAAAAAAGATAGATGTGTGTGTGTGTGTGTGTGTGTGTGGGGGCGGTGCATGGAGATCTTCAGGGGGCGTGTACCATGTGAGGGGGGGCTGGGGGCAGTGGGCTTGGTGGGGGGTGGGGCGCACAGGATGGACCAGAGTGGGGGATGATGGTGAAGGGCTGGGGGCAGCAGGAAACAGGAGTTGCACAGTGGTGCTGGGGGTACTCAGTATGGGGCAGTAGTGGGGCTTGCGTGGGCGTCCTCACTTCTTGGCGCAGAAGGTGGCACAGTCTCTCTCCATGGTCTCACTCCATGCCAGCTTGTAGAGCACCTGGCCAGAAAGAGACACCATGAGCTGCCTGTCCTGCCTCATGGCCACTGCTGCGGTCCACCTACAGCCTTTGGGCCTGGCCTCCTAGCACATGAGGGTTCTCACGGCCCAGGCCCCATGGGCCTTAGAGATGTTCCTGTGCCCGCCTGTTTCATACATGGTCAGATAGGCCTAGACATAGAGGTGCCATCCCTAACATACCACTGGACATAGCACTGTCATGGCCAGGACCCACTGGGCCCTGGGGTCAGAGTTGGAGCCCAGGCTAGCCATGTAGGGGCCATCTTGACTGAGGCCTTGCTGAGGGTGGGGTTCTTGAGGCTGGAGCCCTCTCTAGGTATGCCCTACACTCTCCTCTCCTCCGGCTCTGGGCACGCAGGCATCACTAGGCCTCTGTATGTGCTCTGCTCAATAACTGGGATGCCCCTATGTGCCTGAGGAGATTCAGTTCAAGATATCCCCACCTGGCTGTCCCTTAGTAGAGTTAGTCAGACCCTCTTTCCTGCCTGCTCAGGCTCCCACAATGGCCCTTCACTCCACCAAGCCCCTCCAGGATGGGCACTAGATGGAGTCAGCTAGGCCTCTTCCATGGAGTGGCAGGGCTGCTGGCCCTGCCCGAGGGCCCGATGGGTGGGCTTGTCATCCCTAGGGTGGGCTGAGGCCCTTAAAGGGGAGAGGAGTGGCCAAGAGCAGACAGCGGGGCTTGGGGATGGCCTGGATGCCAGGCCACAGAACCAGGGTCCCTTCTACCTCTGGAGGTGAGGGGAGCATGTTGAATGGATCCCTGGCTGTCTGCCTGAGCACTCACCAGGAAGACCAAGCAATGCAGGAACAGTGTGTAGAAGAATCCAATGGTGCGTGCCATCTTGTTGGAGAGAACCAGCCGCCCCTGGGGAGCAAGCAAGGTGAGGAGTGGGGACAGGGCAGGCCTCACCCAGTCCTGCAGGGCTGCCCTGGGCTCCTGCGGAGGGGAGGAAAGGGCAGGCAGCCTGCTCCCGTTCCACTGTATAGGCCAGGAAAGTGGACTACAGGAATTCCGAGGAGTGGCATGCCCTGCAGCACTATTCCAGAACCTACTATGAATGGAGATACCAAAAGGGCTGTCCTGGAGGGGTGGGACCCTGTTCCAGGTCACACAGCCGCTCCTGGTAGGCCCTGTAAGGGGTCAGTGGGGTCCCTGGGGCTCCTCCAGGCTGGGCTGGAAGGCAGGTGATGGGGTGGCCCATTGGGGCTGCTGTCTCTGGAGGCCTGAAGACAAAGCTCAGGCCTGTCTGAGGTGGGCACCGAGGAGGGGACTCACCATGCTGAGTGTAGCCTTGTCCCATGGGCTCAGGCTCAGGTACTTCCGCTGCCGCTCCTGAAGTAGAAGGGATGATGAGAAGGGGTCCCCAAAGGGCCTCGCAGGCCCGACTCGCTGCAGAAAGGGACCCTGCCCCACTGTTCCTACAGAACACCAGGGGGCTTCCAGGGGCCTCCCTGGTGCCCAGCGCTACTCAGTGTGACGTCCCAGGCTCCTCCCAGGGATCGCTGTCTTATGTCCTCTGCGGTGGGCCATCCTGCCTATGGGAAAGCCTTTATGGGCAGGGCTTGCGAAGCCTAAGAAGTGGGGGAGGGGAGTTACAAGGATTTGGGCGGGGCAACTACTACAGGCCATCTGACACTGGGATCACTTTGTCTGTCTGCCTGCCCTCTCAGAGTGTGCACCTGGGGTTATACCATTCACTGTCACACACCCTCACATAACCATCAGGCAGGTGTTTCTGGTACTCTGGGCCTGCCTGAGGTGGACCTGGACCTCCATGGCACAAAAGTGGGCATGCAGGCTGCCCTGGTCATCTGGCACGTGTAAGGCTGGGCCTGAGTGAACAGACCAGGGCTGGTGGAGTGGGGAGGGGGTGAAGGCCGAGGCCATGTTCTCTGGTATTCCCTGCCTTGTCCAGACGCCGGGCTTACACACCCGCTTGCTGAAGGAGGAGAAGGGGTCCAGGCGCTCCTCATACTGAGACGAATAGCGCAGCTCTGTGTCATCGCTGCCACCACCCTGTGTGGGGAAAGGAGGAGAGATCCAGTCCTGGGGGCCCAACAGGAAGGCCGAGGCTGAGGGATAGCAAGTTGACAGGATCACAAAGGAGGCTCAGTTTCCTCATTAGCACAACAGAGGCAGGGAAGCAGCCCCCAGTGACAGCATGACTCTAGCTGATGCCACGTGTCCAGGGGCATTGCCCAGGGTCAGAGGTCTCCCACGGAGTTAGGGCCATGGTGCCTCAGGGCAGGTAGGGGGAACTAAGGCCCAGACAGGGCTGGAATGTATGCGATGGACAGGGCTTGGCTCCAGGCCAGAAGGTCAGTTTGGAGGGAGTTCCCTGGGAGAGTGCGGGGTGGCTGTGGATTGCAGGTACGTACACACAGGAAAGGAGACCGCCCAAGCCAGACACTCAGTGTTACTGGTTTGCAGAATCTGGGCGCCCTCTGGTGGCCTGAGAACAGTTCCAATGGGTGGAATGGGGGGCTAGTGTCTTAGGGAGGCCCCTGCCAGAAGCATCACTACTTCCTATCCTTCTACTGGCCACTCTGTGTCCCAACAATCAGTGAAGGGTTTCCTTGCACGAGGTGGTCCCCTGTGAGGCTTGGGGGCTGAGAAAAGCCAGAGGCAGCCCTCCTGGGCCTAGAACAAAGTGAGTAGTTTTCTGCTCTGTTCCCTTGATTAGTTTTGGGATGCTGGACCAAAATTTGGTGTGGTTTTTAAAAAAAATGTTAAGTTTAAAACATATGGATTCCCCAGGGCCTGCCCTGCATGCCCAACACCCCTGGGGTGAAATTCCCAGGTCCTGGGGTCAGCTAGTGGATCACCCCATTTCACTGGGGTATCACTCAGGCCTGTACCTGTGACCCCTGCCTCTTAGTGTACCTCACCATCTCCTGGCTTGTTCTGATGAACAAGGGCCCACCAGGGCCCCACTGTGGGGGGCTCTCCCCAGCTTAGGGAGGACAGCTGGCAGGAGAGGGGGCCATAGGGCTTCTGGGGGCTCCCAGGCCCAGCGCAACCCAACAGGTCACTAGCCCCATTCCTTCTGCCCCTAAGTGCCTGGGCCTGAAACTGGGGAGGGCACTCACCCGGCCAGGGTAGCTCTGTAAGAACTTGATCTTCTCGAAGAGCTTGATGTTGTCAGCACGCAGGCTGTCCAGCTCGCCCTGCAGGGCTTGGATGGTGTGCTGGGCCATGCGGTTCTCCTGTGGGTAGGCAGGCGGGTGGGTGGGCAGACAGGGCCAGGGGTAAAAGAGGTTGGGGAAATGGCCTCCAAACTGAAACAGGTACTGCTGTGTCTACTGGGAGCCCCTTCTTGGCCGGAGGCCATCTCCTTGACCTGCTAGACCCTCCTCACAGTTGCCCTGATCCTCCTGTGACCCTACCTCAGGCAGAAATCACAGTTCTGGGGTCAGGTTTCTTCATGTTTTGTTTATGGTATTATCAGCCTTTAAAAAATCATTATTGAGATATAATTCATATAATATAAATGTCACCAGTTTTAAGTGTATAATTCAGTTTTTTTTTAGTATCTGTACAATGTTATACAGCTATCCCCACTATCTAATTCCAGAATATCTCGTCACCCCCATAAGAAACCCCCAACCCATCAGCAGTCACTCCCCAACTCCCCTTCCTCTGGCAACCACTCATCTACTCTCTGTCTCTATGGATTTGCCTGTTCTGGACAGACGCTTCATGGGAATGGAATCACACACCATGTGATTTTAATGTTTGCCAATCTAGGGGCAAGGTGAAATGGGATCTCATTTTTTAATTTATCCAAATACTTAAATAGGTGTTTTCTTCACACTGTTAAAAATTCAACGAGGACTAACAAGGACATGGTAATATGATGATTCCTCCAAAAATTAAACAGAATTGCCAAATGATCCAGCAATTCCACTTTGGGGGATATACCCTAAAGAATTGAGAGCAGGGTCTCAAAGAGATATTTATGCACCCATATTCATAGCAGTATTATTCACAGTAGCCAAAAGGTGGGAACAACCTAAGTGTCCATCGACAGATGAGTGGATAAACAAAATGTGGCCTAACTACAATGGAATATGATTCAGCCATAAAAAGAAGGAAATTCTGACACATGCCACAACATGGATGAATATCGAAGACATCAAGCTAAGTGAGATGAGTCAGTCACAAAGACTGTACGATTACTGTACGATTCCACTCATACAAGGTACCTGGAGTAGTCAAATGCAGGGACAGAAAGTAGAATGGTGGGTGCCGGGGGCAGGGGGAGAGAGGGATGGGGAGCAGTTGTTTCACGGGTACAGAGTTTGTGTGGTATGATGAAAAGAGTTCTGGAGATGCATGGTGGTGATGGTCGCACAACAATGTGAATGTGCTGAATGCCACTGAACTGTACACTTAAAAATGGTTAAGACAGTACATTTTGTTATGTGTGCTTTACCACAAAATTTAAAAAGTACATGGTAAAAAGTATAGGTTTTTAAAGCAAAAGGTAGAATACTTAATGCTTACTTTTTCTTTTAATCTATTTTGAAGGCCTTCTTTTAAAAGCTGCATAGCATTCCACAGTGTGACTGTCCCTGGTCCCTGATGGGCATGTGTGTGTTCCCAGTCCACTGCCAGTGCAGGCAGCTGTGAGGGGAGCATCCCTGACTGTCTCTCATTTGAAGCCTCTTGAACCCAGATCACAGAGGGTCCCATTGGATCTGGCCCACCTTTGTCACCAGACCAGCACTGGGCCTGGCCCACAGTGGGCACTCAGCGAATGTTTGCCTTCCCTGGTCTGAGCCTGGAAATCCCACAGAACTGGAAATCCCTGGAACTGTGAGTTTGGAGAGGAAAGGTCTAGAAATTCTGTCATTAGCTCAAGCAGTGATTCTTTGAGAAAGATGAAAACCTTCCTGGTTCCTGCTCCCCCTGGGAGAGTGATCAGGGGGGATCTGGGCTGGCTCTGTAGGATGGGGGGTCTGCAGAGTCCCCAAGGCCAAGATGGTGCCACCTCTAGGTGCTCCCCTGGTCTGTCACTGGGCCTTCCACACTCTGGATCTAGTGTCCACTCCCTCTGTGGGGACACCCTGGAAGCTTTAAAAGAAACAGTGTGCTCCTGCTTCTTTTGCTCTGTCCCTGACTCTCTCTCTTGTCTCCTGGTCCCTACTCTTCCAGGACCACAGCCATCCTGCTAGTGCTGTAGTCACCATCCACGTGTCACTAACACCCACATTATTGTAGCTCACATTAAAGGCTCAGACGCAACTGGACTGGTCGCCTTTGCAGACTGCCCCTTCCTCATGGGGTAGGAAGGCCTCCAGGTGGGCGTTCGGCAACCACTTGGCCCTCTTGGACCTCTCAGAGTCCCCCTAGACACCTCTAGACTGTTAATCTTTATCTAGTGCAAAGACCTTCCTCTCTCTGACTCCGCTTCTTCAAGTCCCCTACCTGATTTAGATGTTTCTTCCTGGATAATGGTGACTACTCCCCAGTCATCTTCCTGGGCCAGACTTCTGTCCTGAATTGGCTACGCTAGGGACGCTTCTTACCCTCCATCCTGGCAGTGCCGCTCCCCGTTTTAATCCTCTGCTGGTGCCTCAGCCTGGCTTGAGGGCACTCCCCTGGCAGCGCTGTGTCTTCTTGCTGCAGCCCTGGAATGACCTGTACTCCCTTCTGTTTTGTTGGTCCCCTGTATCTGCTCACGTAGGCTCCTCTACTGATTCTTCTTTCACAGCCCAGTGTGACACAGCCTCCTCCAGGAAGCCCTCCCTGACTGCACAGAACAAATCTAATCCCACTGCAGTTTATGGTCTATGACACATCTTTTCTCCCCGAGCCTGTGGGTCCCACAGGTCTTCAGGTCTAAGGAGTGTAGGAGAGGGAAGCACATGACTCACAGCCTCCAGCTCCTGGTTCCGGGCCCGGAAACGCTCTCTCTGGCTGGAGATGATGGAGAGCAGCGAGTCTACCTGGCCCTCGGGGAGGGTGCCACTGGCTGGTGCAGAGGGTCCTAGGAGGTAAGGAAGAGTAGCTGGGGGTGGCAGGAGTCAGAACCTAGCAGTGGGTCCTCAGGTTCGGTGGCCCCAGCTCTGAAGGAGCTCTGGCTAAGTGCCAGGGGGTAGAAGGCACAGGGTGTCTGAGTACAAGGTGCTGAGAGGTTGAGGAAGGGGAAGGGTGGCCCCAGGGAACAGGGAGGGGTGTGACATGAAAATAGGGGTCCTAAGAGGGGAGGCCCTGCTCAAACTGCCTGAGGGCTGGGCCCCAAAGCCTCCCTCCCTATTACTCTATATTTGGATCAGGGATCCCTGCATCTGTCAGACTGGGCCCCCCATTCCAAGGTAAGAAAGGGGACACTGAGGGCTCTGGGAAGCCATGAGTATCCCCTTCCCCAGGTTCTGGCTTCAACCCAAGGAGGCCACCTCCCCTCCATTTCCGGGAGCTCTCTGGCTGCATTTCCACACCAGGGCCTCCATTGGGAGCTGACCACCACCTATCAGCCCTCTACAAGCTGCTAGCAGGGCCAAGGGCATCAAGGCCCCAAGGTGGGAGTATCAGGCTAAGGCCTAGAAGGGCAAGTGGGGGACTCGCCCTCTTTAATGTTGCTGCCGCGTTGCTGGGGGGGGAAGGGGCGGGCTCAGACCTTCTTTGGGGGGGCATGCTCTTTAGGGATCAGGGCTCCAGCTGAACAACCTTGTCACCCTTCCTGGTTCCCGATAGGCCCACCATTGCCCCAGCGGGTCAGGTTGGCCCTTCCTCACCATAGAACAGGGCGGTGGCCTCCTTGATGGGCTCTGGGATCTTCTCCAGGCCATACTCAGCTGCGCCCTGTAGGAAGAAGTGGGGGAGGCACCTCTACATGCAGCACTGAACACACTTTCAAGGTGTCCAGCAAATTGGGGGCAAGGAGCAACTGGGGTGGTCTGGTGGCAGTGGCAGGCACAGCGGTGGCCACAGAGAAGACACCTCGTGTGGGCCACCAAAGGGAAGGCAGGGCCCTGCGTCCACCCCCAAGGCTGGAGCACAGCATTAGGGGGTCTTATCCAGCCATTCGGCCCTGATGGCTGGCAGAGGTTGGGTGATTCCGGCCCTGCCGGTCAGCCTGCCGTGTGCCCTGGGCCAGCCCAGCTTCTCTCCCTAAGCCCCACTTCGTCATCTATAAAATGAGTGGGTGATGTGATGACTTCCAAGGGTCCTTTGGGCTCCAGCCTCCCATGATCTTGGGGCCTCAGGTTCTCTTGCTATGAGAAGAGTGGGTAATCCTGGCCATGCTTCTGCCCACAGCTCCCAGGGCAGAGGTCCAGGTCAATGGCTGGACACAGGGCACTTTGTGCCAGCTTGAGGAAGCCTGCCTGGCATCCTAAACTGGACCTTCATTGTGAAGTTAGCAGGCAAAAGCCAGAGAAAGAGCCCAGAGTAGTTGTTGAGGGAGAATAGGGTAGGGCGTGGGCTTACCTCGGCGTCAGGCCGCTGGATGGACTGGATGGTGCTGAGGTCTTGCTCTAGGCGGGCAATCAGCTCCCTCTGCTCAGCCACTGTGGCCACGGCCTCGGTGACGTGGACCTGTAGCTCTGCACAGCGCCCTGTAGCCAAAGGAAGGAAGACGTGGTCATCAGAGGGAGCCTGGTGGGACCCTTTGGACCTTTGTCCCTCTCTGCCTCCTCAATTACCAGTCAGTAAGCAGGACCCCCAGAGAGCCACAGTAGAGTGCTGGCTGCTCCCTCCCTCCCTTCCATCGCCTAAAGGACCACCATTAGAGCAGCCAGCAGGGTCACGGGCACCCTTGGCCCCAAGAACTCTGTATGCTCATGAAACTCCCTGGGTAAAGGAAGGAGCCCAGGTAAAGGATTTAGGAGAAACAGGTCCACTCTGGCTCTGCCATAACCAGCTGGGTGAGTCTGGCCAGCCCCCTTCCCGCTCTAGGCCTCACTTTGCCTCTGTCTAGCAGGGCAAAGAAGTTGAATGTAATGAGCCCCAAGTTTGTTCCAGGCCCTGGGTCTATGACCAGAGGAGGCCTTGGGGGTAGCAGTGGTGTAGAAAGGTACAGGAGCTGCAGCGGGGGGTGGGAAGGCCGCCTTCAGACCCAGTGGGGGGTGGGGGAGTGAGGGGTCCCAGCTCTGGGGCTGACAGCAGTGGTGCCTCACTCAACAGGCTCCAGTGCAGTGGTGGGGATGGGGCGCGATGGGGATGGGAATCCCCTGACCCACAGCCCTATTCCTCTCTCCCGCATCCAAATGCTAGGTATCTAAAATAATTCCGTGTGGAGATATGCCTGCCCTTTTGGAGAGGGGGAGATGTTGGGGAGTTCTCTCAGCCCAGGCCCTGTGGGAGCCTTCAGCGGCCACTGGCTGGGAGGACAGCGGTGGCCTGGGGGCTGGGCAGACCCAAGTTTGAGGCCTGGCCCTGCTTCTGGTTGGCTGTGTGACTCTGGGCAGCTGAATCACCTTGTCTAGACCTCATTTGTAAAATGGTGACAACAAACCTCGCTCAAGGACGCAGAGAAGAAGGCCCAAGGCCTAAAGCACAGGATGCTGTCCTTTGGGGAGGACTACACAGCCACCAGGGGGCACTGTGGTCTCATAAATGCCTAAGGGTCCCAGGCTACAAGCAGCGCCAGGACAGCTTCTGTGCCTTCCTAGAGGACTTACCCATCACCATGCACCCTGCCGACCAGCTGGCCAACCCCGCCCTGGCTGGGCTCAGCCCTTGGGTCCGGGTTGGGGCATCTGGCTTCACCCCCACCTGCTCCATCTCCTGGTTGCTCGCTCATTGCACGCCAAACCCTTTACACACCTCACAACAATCAGATAAGCCAGAACAGATGATCCCCATTTTACAAATGAACCGAGACTTCCCAGCCTAAGACAGACCCCAGGGTGTCCATCCTGGCTATGTCCAAGCCTTCCTCACACCAGGGGAAGGCACTACTGTTTCAGGCCCTGAATGGACTTCTTCCTTTAGACATCACTAAGCCCCTCTTTGTAGCTGGCAGGTAGGTGGTGTTGGTGGAAGTGAGGGGTCTGAGGTGGGCCTAGGGGAATAGGCTGGCCCTGAGGGCAGGGCCAGGTCATGGAGAGAGGCCTGTGGGTGGCAGGGTTTGGGTCCAGCCTTCGGCCTGTAGGCCCTGGGTGGCCTACAAGAGTTTTAAGCAGACCCTATGTGGTAGAGGCTCAGAGAGATCCCAAATGCCATGACCCACTGGCCGGGGGATTGAGTCCTTGGTCCTAGGCATGCGGGATGGGACTGAAGAGCAGGGTCATCTTGCTGCACAATATACAGGAGAGGTAAACAGAAGTCATGGTAAGATGTGGAAGAGGGACCTTGGGAAGGGATAGGTTTAGTTCCAAGCACTGGGTATCCATAGGGATAGCCACAAACAGGAGAGGCGCATCTAAAACTGGTGCTGGGACTGATCCCGTGGGGATAGGGAGACAGATCCTAGATGAGTGTGTGTGGGGGTGTGGAGCCCAGAGAATGCTCTGGGGAGTAGCATCCCACCTTCAGGGATGAGGGCCCTGGGGACAGAAGGGACAGGGCAGAGGTGGGGAAACCTACGGAGAGGTGGACAGCGGAGTGAGCCCTTGTCCTTGGAGGTGTGTAAACAGCATGGTGGGAGGGGACCCAAGCATGGCATGAGGGTTGGATATAACGCCAGCAAATTGATTCTTTGGACTGGCTATTTTATCTGTCACTAGTCTGTGGCCACCACAGCATGGTCTCAACCAGGTCTCTGGGGTAGGAGTGACTAGCAGCAGCTCCTGGAGCCATCTGTGGGCATGAAGGAGATGAGGGGGTGCCCGTGTTGGGTTTCCTGTGCATTTGTGTCTGTGCCTGATGCTAAGGGGGTGGGTGCACATGACCCTGCTCATGCACACATATGACACTGCGAATGTCTTGAGGGCCCTGATAGCAAACCTTCCATCATAGGCTACCCCAGCCAGCTGATGCCAGGCCACTTTGTTAAGCTGGCCTGGAGAGCCTGCCACTGTTGCTGCTGCAAATGCTCCCAGACATTGGGTTAGTTGCTGAGGTGATATCTGGGGGTATAAGGCTGAGTGTTGGGAGCTATTCCTGAAGAGGTGGCTTTGGGTGAAACTGAGGGCTGGCTGGTGTGAACTCAATGGAAGATGGCGGCTTGTGAGGCAGAGGGAAGGGGCTAGGCAAGGCCAGGCAGTGGAGGTGATGGGATAAGACTTGAAGGAAGGCCCTGGGCAGGGCTGGGGGACCTGGGGCTGCAGCAGCCAGGCTTGGATATTCCCGTCATTCCACACTGGGGGGATGAGAGGGCCAGGAGTCTGATGGTGTGGGCGCCCCTGAAGGAGAGACATGCCTCCTCCATGCCTGAAACTGGCCCCCACACAGGGAAGGGCCGAGTGGCAGCGTGGTTTGGCTCTGGTGAGTATAGAGTGCTAGAGGAACAGCTAAGAGGATGTGTGTGGGGAGTTGGACCCATGGACTTGAGGCTGGAGATGCAGGCTGGGGCAAGCTCAGGGCCCAGGGCTGACTGAGCCTGCAGCAGAAGACATGGAAGCCCAGGGAGTACTGCGATGAGAATGGCCAGAACTTTTTGGGATGATAACATTTTTGGGGATGGCCCGTAAAAGGCCTGGAGGAGAGGAGGCAGGAAGCAGGATGGCAATCAAGAGGAAGTACGTTAAGGCACGAGTTAAATAGGGACCTCCAGCGAGTAAGGAGGGGTCACCAGTGTCTCAAGAAAGGCTGAGTGAGGTGAGGGCTGGAGTGAATCTGCTAATCAGAGTTTGGTCAAGGTAGTGGTGGAGCGAGAAGAAGGAGGGACCTGGGGACCACTCTGGACAGGGGCCAGATGAGGCAGCACAATGGGCAGAACCTGTGCGTGGGGGCGTGCTTAAGAAAGAGGAGTATGGAGCATGCAGAGTAAAGTACCTGCAGCTGAGCGAGAAGGCTGGGGAGAAGGAGCAGCTGGGTCTAGGAGAGGGAGGGGTGACACAGACAAGGAGTGCCAGGGGTGTGGAGAGAGAACTTCTTGACTCTGAAAGATGGCAGAGGCCCCTGTGAGATGGGCCCAAGACAGCCCCCTACGCTTGTGAAAATTCATGGGACCTCGTTCTTCTGGGAGAATCTGGGAAGGTTTCCTAGAGGGCGCATTTCACAAAGGGGAGAAAGAACTCACAGCAAAGTCAAGGTCAAGACTTAAGGAGGTGGGATTATAACTATGGTCAAGGCGCGATTTCTGACTGCTGACTGATTAAATGCAGAAACTTATCACAACTGGAGTTGGGTGGCAAGGCCTGGGGTGTTGTGTCTAAGGCTTTCTCGAGGGCGGGAAACCCGGCATTATTCAGTCAGCCACCTACAAGCTACGTGGGTGCTCTGGAGCTGCTCGGAGTACATCGTCTCTCTGCTTGGAGGAGTGAAGCTAAGCACTTGCATATCCACCCCCGTCCTGCCTCTGCACCTGTCTGTCCCCACACGCGGCCAGAGATGAGTGCCGATCGCTCCCTGTGCCGGCAGGTGCCAGCCCTTCATTCCTATGAGAGGGGTCCCCCAGCAAGTGTCCGCCCTCTGCAGCATCAGCTCTTTCCATAAGCACAGACATGTTATTGTCCCATCTGACTCTCTCTCTCCTGACTCCACTGCCTCCTCCAGTATAACTCCCTGAAGAAGCTGTCTATTCCAAGCGTTCACTTCCCTAAACTCTTCCCATCAGATTCAGATGCCCTCTCCATTACTGTTTTTGCCAAGGTTTTGATGACCTCGCGCATCACTATGTCCTCAACCCTCATCTTACGGACCCATCGGCACCTGGTTTCCAGGTCACTGCACCCTCCCAGGCCTGTTTCCTTTGCAGGTTCTCCTCCTCCTCACTAAGCTATGAACACTGCTGCACCCGGGGTGCCGACCCCACATACTTTTCGGTTTCCTCTCATTCACTCTGGCCACCTTGAGTGCCATTAATAAGCTGACGATGACTCTCTAATAGATATCTCCATTTAGATATCTCCTTTGCCTGGGCTCATTCTCTACTCGGATATATAACTGGTACCTCAAACTTAACAGGTCCAAATTAAAGCCTGATCCCCCCAAATCTGCTTCACTGCAGCAGGACCCCTGCTGCACAGCCCCAGGAGTTGGCATCCTCAGGGCCGGGGGGAGCAGAGGCCAGGCATCTACCTGGCTTGCAGGTGGCTGACTGAATAACGCAGGGTTTCCCGCCCTCAAGAAAGCCTTCGACACAGATGCCTGGGGGTAGCCATGCTCTTCTCGCTCACTCCTTACAACTAATCTGTCGCAAGTCCTATAGTTGGTTCTACCTTCAAAATATATCCAGAACCCAATCACCTTTCACCACTGCCACCACTAGGTCTGACTTAAGACCCCTCATTTCGATTATGGCCAACAGCCTCCTCACTGGTCTCCCTTTTCCCACCCTCTCCGCTACAATCAAGTCACGAAGCCGCAGCCGGAGAGCCTTTTAAACAGTAAGATCAGACCACCCTCCAGCGGCCTCCACAACCTTCGGAGTACCAGCCAAAGCCCTGCAGTGGCCCACAGGCCCCACCAGCTCTCTGTCTCTCTGGCCTGGTTGTCTCCCACTCTGCCC